CAGGCCATTTCCGGTCGCTGTCCCCATTTTCGACCGCCTCCCCCATTTCCGATTGTCGTTATCGTCGGAGTTCGACAGATTGAAGGTAAAATCCTCCAAAAAAAATTTATTCTCTTAATTTCTTGTATTTTCTCACTATTTCATGGTGATTACATGCAAAAAAATTAGATTTTAGAATTTTATTGTGAATTATTTATGAATTTTGTGAAGAAAACTTAAATAATTTTGTCGATTTAGAGGGGAAATTATCAATAATGTAAAAATTAGTGTTACTACATATGTACTACATATGTATGACATCAATTAGATTTTAGAATTTAATTGTGAATAATTTATGAATTTTGTGAAGAAAAATTAAATAATTTTGTGGATTTGGAGGTGAAATTATCAAAAATAAAAAAATTAGTGTTACTACATATATGACATCAATTAGATTTTAGAATTTAATTGTGAATAATTTATGAATTTTGTGAAGAAAAATTAAATAATTTTGTGGATTTGGAGGTGAAATTATCAAAAATAAAAAAATTAGTGTTACTACATATGTATGACATCGATATATGAATTTGGGTAAAGTTATGGTTCCCTAAAATTGATATAGGATTTAATGGTAAGTAACAATCAATTTTTAAAGTCTTTTCGTGTGATATAGGATTTAATGGTAAGTAACAATCAATTTTTAAAGTCTTTTCGTGTAATATTGATCTTGAATGTTTTACTCTTCAGAGGTAATGATGAACGATTGTAATATTGATCTTGAATGTTTTACTCTTCAGAGGTAATGATGAACGATCGAATCGTAATTTTGTGTTCATATGATAGGAAGATTAACTACCTCGAAAATAATATGCCCGTTTATGAAGGAGGTGCGATGAGATCGTTGTTTATAACAAAATCGTGTACTTTCAATGAGTTGGTTAATGAATTACACAAACTTACATTAACCAACTCATGTAAGTATCACCTCAATGTTATTTGCAATTATCCCGTTGTGAAGAACAGGACAAGCGACATTCAAATATCAAGTGACTACGATATGAGTCTCATTGAAGTCTTACATGACCAGAAGCATTCGATCGAATTGTTCATTAAAAACATCAAAGGAATTTGGACAAATCGTTGAATTATGATGGAATGTACTTCCGCATGTTGGAGGACCCTGATGTTAATTCCATTGGCTTTTTATCTCCTCAATAAGATGAAGGTTGGACACAATCACAATACATGTGCGGTCATTTGTTTGTGGGCACTTCGAATGCTTTCGATACTAACACGAGAATTCAAGAAGATAATGCAAGTGTTGAATCTGAGAATGATGATGAAGAGGAGAGCTTACAAAATAATAGCATGACCTTGATAAATCGTGATGAAGGGGACAACCACCACATTGACGGGTGTTATGCTAATAATGAGTATGTTGTCTTAGAGGATTCGCCGCCCGATGAACTTCAAGGAGAAGAATGGATTGATAACTCCGTGATGGAAATTATTCCTATTGGCACTAATAGCGGTCATGATACACAGGGTGAGGACTTCTCATTCGTGAAGGGAGATCTTTATGAGAGTAAGGAGAAATTGATCCATGCGCTTCGCTCGTATGCCATTACAAAAAAATATCAAGTTTAGGCCAACAAAAAATAACACAACAAGCTATAATATGGTTTGTTTTTATCGCAAAGATGGTGAAGACGAAGATCTTGGTGGACACTACGATGGGAATGCGAATTGTCCTTGGAAGCTTAATTCACGTTCGGGTGTAAGAGTAGGTGAGCATTTCAAAATCACGGCGTACAACAGAGTCCACACATGTAGCAATCCTCGATTGGAGATGAATAACAAGCATGCGTCCTCTTCTTTTATATATCGATTAATTTTACCGCATCCGAGAGAGGATCTTGATCTACGACCGAAAGATATTCGTCTTTTAGTGCATAAAGCGATCAACTTGGATGTATCATACAATAAGTGTTGGAATGCTAGGAGGAAGGCGATGATATTAGGCTTGATTGGCTGCTTATCACTGCACTGATTGACGGTTCGATATATTAGGCTTGATTGGCAACTTATCATTGTACTAATTGAGAGGTGGAGGCCAGAGACCAACACCTTTCACATGCATATAGGGGAGTGCACCATCACCTTACAAGACGTGGCCGTCATACCTGGGCTCCAGATTGATGGACCAGCAGTTATGGGCATCGATGATCATAGTTGGCCTGAGGTATGTGCTAGGCTTCTTGGCCAGGTTCCCGACTTTGAGGAGTGGTGCGATGAAGCTATCGTGACTTCATCATACATTTCAGGGCGACATACCAGAGGATGCCAGTATGGAGACGCTTCAGTTTCATGCTCGTGCGTACATATTGCACATGATAGGGTGCATGCTTTTTCCTAATGCGAGCAAGACTCTTGTACATGCACGATGGCTGCTACTGCTGGAGGATTTTGACGTATGCGATGCACTATCATGGGGCAGTACGGTGTTGACATACTTGTATCGAGAACTGGGTAGAGTATTCTTGGGTAGAGTATCCTTGATGCAGAATAAAGAATTCAAGGGATGCTGCACATTGATACAGATTTGGTCATGGGAGTGCATTCATATTGGACGTCCTACTTTACTTGTGCACCGTGACCTACATGGGCAGTTTCCTTTGGCATACATGTATAATTATACACACAAATTTTATTCGTACTGAATTTATACTTATATATTCTCTATTCTGCATATAGGTATAACGTGCGGTACGCTAAGTACCGATCAGCGACACGCCATCGTGAGTTTTACAAAAATGAGCTTGATGGCCTCCAACACGAATAGGTAAATATAAATCTTAAGTCGTTATGAATATTATAGTTTTGTTGTTGATACTGATAAATGTTTTATTTTATTTCAGTTCAAGTGATATTATAGTTTTGTTGTTGATACTGATAAATGTTTTATTTTATTTCAGTTCAAGTGGAGACCCTATACATCGCCGGAGCTTTGTTGTTGATACTGATAAATGTTTTATTTTATTTCAGTTCAAGTGGAGACCCTATACATCGCCGGAGCTCGATATGCATTCTCTTGCACCCATCTGCCAAGATACTCCTGACTTGTGAAGAGCCAGAGTTCCATTGATTTGTTAGGAGATCGTGGAGATGCATGTCCCTGACCGTGTGCTACGACAGTTTACGCTCTCTCAACATGTGCCAGATCCTGTCAAGCAGATCGATCGTCAGCGGTGACCTACTTCGTACTGTACCGACTTGGCCGTAGTCCGTGCGGCCTACATAGACAGGTGGGCTCACAGGTGGGATTTCATCCAAGATACGAGGCCCACAGCTGTTGACTATACCGCATATATGCATTGGTATTGGGATATCACACGTAGATGGATCACGCGTGACCCACAACCATCAACTGGACACATGCCACGCCCATCGACAGATAGTTACATCCCTAGTGGGATGAACGAGAGAAATCACGTAAGTTTCTAAGCTAAATTATAATATTTTTTATTAAGTTGATACTTAATAAATTGTTTACCTCACATGTCCGTGCTTTTGATAGCATTGAGGCTGATATTGATGCGCACGTGCCTGAGATTCAGGATTCGGTGGTGCTAGGACTCCTCAGTAGGATCAAGAAGACCATAGCGCATGTGTTTCATAAGACTCACGTCGACGAGTTCGCAGGCCGTGAGGACAGGTCTCGATCATTTGGACGGGCGTACACTCGGTCCCGATGGCCACGTGACGATGATGTCGGCATTTCGCATGCCGATGGAGCCGACACTTCGCATGCTGATGGAGCCGACACTTCTCAGCCTCATACATAGCCGGATACTCAGATAGTCGAGGCTCATCAGCAGGACCACGGGGGGCGGGGAAGAGTGAGGGGGAAGAGAGGGAGAGGAAGGAGAGAAGCTATATTGAGTTGTATTTGAACTTATTTTGTTAAAATTTGTAACTTTTTATGAATTTTCAAATACTATACTTTTGTGAATCAGTTATTGTTCATATATGTACTCTTTTTTAGTATTGTTTGATTCGTGCGTGTTTAAATCATATATATATTATAGTAATTGTTGTTAACATGTAATAGTTATATATATGAGTTAAACATGTAGATGTATACGAAACATGCACATCACAACAACCTGTGCATGCTTTGTAAAACCTGCAGCTTCACGGGAGTTCAACTTCCGTGAAGTTGCAGTCTAAATTTCCCAAAGAGCGATTCTCTGGGAAATTTGGCCTGTAACTCCACGGGAGTTGAACTCCCGTGAAGATTTTAATACTCTAACAGACTTCACGGGAGTTGAACTCCCGTGAAGTTTGTTCAAGTTAAAAAATTTCACGGGAGTTCAACTCCCGTGAAGATTTTTGAAGAAATTAATCTTCACGAAAGTTGAACTCCCGTGAAGTTTAAAAATACGCTAAACTTCACGGGAGTTCAACTCCTGTGAAGTTTCGTAAATTTTTTTTAGAAACCGATCTGGTTTCAACGACAGGATTGAAACCAGGTCGGTTTTTAAAATTAACTTTGAAAATGGTCGTTTTTTGCAAATAAAAGTCGGACTGTTTCAAAAATTGGACAAATTTTCAAAACCAACCCCTTTCACTATTTATTTTCAAAAAGCGACCGCTTTTGTAAAATTTTTTAAAATCCGACCTGGTTTCAGCCCTGGAGCTGAAACCAAGTCGGTTTTTAAAATTTTTTATCTGAAACTTCACGGGAGTTGAACTCCTGTGAAGTTTAGTAAAATTGCTAAACTTCACGGGAGTTGAACTCCTGTGAAGTTTCGTAGTTCAAATTTTTTTTGAAATGTGAAACTTCACGGGAGTTCAACTCCCGTGAAGTTTCCGAAGTTTTTTCACAAAAACCGACCTGGTTTCAGCCCCAATGCTGAAACCAGGTCGGTTTTTGCAATTAAGTTTGAAAGAGGTTATTTTCTGGGATTAAATTTCTAAATAGGTTGGTTTTGAAAATTTGTCCCCAAACTCCACGACCTACTAGTTCCTTTCACAGAGATCTGTATTGCGACAGGTCTTAGATCTCCAAACCCCGATCACTGTAAAACCCAATCGATTAAGAGAGAGAGAGAGAGAGAGTCTCATCTGAAATGGCTTCGCGCCTTCAGCTCCCCGTCGACGACTCGATCCTGCTGAGAGTGACGCACTCCAACATCAAGAGCTTCTCTCCCGACGTCCGATTCTCTCGCGAGGTGATGTCACTGCTTCTCTCTTTCTCATCTCTGACGAAAACCCTAGTAAGTAATCTCTCGATATATGTCCTTCTTGGCTCAGATGACGGTGGAGTCAGTGAAGGAGAAGCTCTGGAAGAAATGCGGCACTTCGGTGGACTCGATGCGGCTCGAGCTCTATGACGATGCGGGGAGCAAAGTTTGCGATTTGATCGACAATTCGAGGCCCTTAGGGTTTTACTCGCCACAAGATGGGTTAGTCTGTTTGATTACAAAACATTGTAGCCAATATAGATGAATCTGGTGTAGAGAGTTGAGCAGCTTCATTGATCCCGCAAGCAACAACAATCACAACATTAATATATTTGATCTTAATAGAGTTTCCCTTGCGCACGGATGTAGATGATTACTAGATTGGGATTTCATTCTAGGCAGTTTGCTTCTCTGTGTTTGTGTTTGGTTCATAATTGCATCGGTATGATGACTGGCAAAATAAGTTTAGAGGAACGTCCGGTCCAATCATGAAGAATTAGGAGACTAGACAGCAGTTATTGGTTCCTTGTGGATGGCCTTGACAGAGTACTCCTTATGGGTCACCCTGTGATTATACCTTTTTTTTTGTTATGTTGGACGTCAGGTGTATCCTTGCACTAACATTATCCTTCTCTAGTTAGCCATAACGGTCATGATAAACAATCTTTCTTTGCACTAATGACATTGATGAAAGGAAATCTACCTCGCAGATCATAGAAATAGGATTTAGTGTCGAATCGGAAACATTCCAAATTTACGTATACTGGATGATGCTACAAGGTGCCTTGAGGTGATGAGATGCGGGAGGCAGATTTGTCATGGGAAAATTTGGATGCAATGCTAATCTGTATTTCTTAAAGATACAACAGAATGGACACGGAGTAATCTTTATCATCTTAGTTGTATACTTTATCCTAGTTCACTGTAGAAGCGATCCTCACATATCCTCTCTGAATGAACAACCTTCTGCTTTCATTTCTCATCTGCTCTATGGGAGATTTAACCTTTTGTAACTTCGAATGCTTTAATTCATAATACCCTCATGATGGCAATGTGAGAGCTCTGTTGTTTATGGAATGTTTTAGAAATCAATGTGATAAAGGGAGTGTTTGTGTTCCAATTGCTTCCTATGTTCTCTTTTTGGTTTGAGGTTATAAATCTTTCCTTTGCCAGAGGAGCTAAGCTTGTCATACAGTATCGAACTGGTGGTCAAACACAACTTTCATGTTTTTGATTCTGCAATATGCATAGATGTCCTCTCCTTTGCATTGAACATAAATCATGTCTGTATTCTGTGAGGTATGGTCAAGGACCTTGAGGTTTTGATTTACCTAATCACTTGCACTGGGACCACCCAACCAATGATTGGAAGATAGGTATGCCTAATTTAGATTCAAGTGCATTACTGGGATATCACTAGGATAAGCAGCTGAACCCTGAGTTGCTTCCAAGTTTTCACTTTGAGTCTTTGACACGACTGCTGTTTCTTTTTCATGATACCCATCATGATCAACCTGATCAGACACGGTTGACTGACATATGGCTGCAGTAATCATGACTATGCTTTCTCTAACACAACCAATCATTCTATATTCTAGGTCAATGTTGAGAATAATGATAACGCACAATGTAATGCTCGCCTATCAATAACGTAAAACCCGAAATAACGTAATGCATAATGTAGTTTACATGTTTTATTATTTATTTAAATATTTAATAAAATAAAATTTTCACAATTCTTTTAATAAATAGAATCATCACAGTTTTTAAGTAAAATATCACAATTGTCAAAAATATCATAACTCAACAAAAATATGTCATAATGCTTAACAACCAATTTGAAAGCACATGCACTTCAAGTTTAATTTAAAAAACTCAAAGAAAACACCCAAAAGCCTTAAGTAATGTTGAAATATGTGATAATGTACTATAACTTAAGGTTTCTTGATAGCTTAAAGCATAACTCATAATATAGTATATCTATTTTTTATTGTTTATTTTAAAAAAATAAAAGACGTTAAAAATAATTTTAAGAATTAGGAATATAATTTTAAAATATAAAAATAATTTAATAAGATTCTTAATTTTAGTACAAGTATTACAAATTTTCTAACAAGTATCACAATAAAATATTTAAATATATAATCTCAAATTTACACCTCGTTCATAATTTCATATGCATTTTACTAGTCACATTCATAATTTCACTATCAAATAATGATGTTCACCAAAGTAAGTCATAAAGGCTTAGCAAACAATTTAAAAGTAATTACTTAATTACTTCACATTTTAAGTAGGGAAACACTCTCATCTCTCTATAATAAATTACATTGAGATAACACAAGTTATAATGAAATAACACATGTTATATTGAAATAAAGTAACTTATATTTAAATGATACATGTTATATTAATATATTATAATAACATAGAGTTATGACATGTCTGAGTTATATCAAAAGATTATTAGGTTACACAACGCAAAATAATAGGTTACATAACATTTCTTATGACAATTCTAGCCTACCTAACAGTATATGAGCGCAATCTATTTAAATTCTAGACAATCCGATGGGTATTTTATCTATTACCAACGACCAATGTGAATTTTAGGCTACCTGACTGATAAATGAGTGCAATTGATCCTAATTCTATCATATGTGATGGGAGATGAGCCTTAATATTGGTTCCTATAGGTAGTCCCTTCTTCACTTGCATACAAGGCTCAGCTTGATGATTTTAGAAATTAAATTAAGAGCGTAAACTTTTGATGTGCCTTGTTGCATTCAATTCCCTCTTGACAACTTGTTTTTCCTCTGCGCATCTCATTCCAAGTCAAGAGCATCTCTTTGCAGCTAATCCTACTAGACAATTTGTTCTTCCTGTGTGCTTACAAGTTACGATCTCCTTTCATTTTAGCCATTCCAAAATCAGAATCATTTAAAGCCTCTTAAATCTAGTGCAAAGGGAAAGTCCTTGAATAAATATAAAACTGTTTATGTTAGGCATGCTAATATAATAAATCAAATGTTTTATGTGAATGATACCTGAATCTTGCATTGATTTTATTTATTTACAAGATAGGGCATTTGCTGATTTCTTGATTCCACATTCTGAAAGGCTCTCGTTTGGTCCAACAAGTTAAATGATGATTCATAGTCTGTCCTTCACATGGTTTTAAATGTCGGCCAACGTGTCGGATTTAGAGGCTAGAGCGACACGGATATGGCCATTTCAAGATGGATATTATTTTTTAGGTCTTAAGTCGGACAATCTTGCGGACATATCGGCCGATTTTCACTTAAAAAATTGAAAAAAGGCCGATTTTTTTATTTTTTATTTTTTAAAAGTTGATAAGTATTGGGGTTTGGGTTTAGTACTCAAAAGCCAAAACTGATTAATTCTTTTTTTTAGCTTTTTGTTCCCATAGTAATCCGGTAGCATATAATACAGATTAGGACAAAGGAAAAAAATATTGCTCTCTTTTCCACCGCGATCTTCTCTCCTTCGTCTTCGTCTCTACAAATTGAAATTGAGAATACATAAAAGCGTGACGTAAACAATAAGTTTGAACCGTAACTTGAAATCAATTCAAAGTCTAACACTTTGTCAATTTTATGCAAGACACTTTACTTTACGTTAATTTTATGCACGATACTTCGAAAGTTCTAGTTTGACAATATGTATTTTATTTATTTGTTGGCATAATATTCTAATGTTTACCTTCAAGAAATGGAAAACGACTCGTGTCTTGATGATGAATACTCAACTCAAGTAGGAAAAGTTATAACAAGACAAATGCATTCCATCTTGGTGACCAAAATTGAGTAGAAATCCATCCGATATGACAATCTGATATTTACTCTATGTCCCTCGACATATCCCTACTTTCCGCTATCCGACATGAATTTTGGCTGCCCGACATGAATTTTGGCTGCCTGACATGAATCTAATATCCGTCATTTAAAACCTTGGTCCTTCGAAGTAAGAAGATTTCTAGTCTTTATTCTTAGAATTAAGAAAGGTTTCTAGCTGCATAAGAGTACCTCCAACACACCAGGAATAAACGGACAGCCGGACATGTTTGAAATCCAAAGAAGTTGTTATAAGCACAACTACCTATGTAAAACTGTCCTTAGAAGTTAAGACGAATTTTTAGCTATTTGCATTTATTCGCCTCTGAATATATTTTCAGTATCAACTTTTGGTCCATATGATGTAAGATAATACTGGCAGATCACCACATGTTTATTGTTTGGTACTGGTTGTCTAGAAAAAAAAAAAAAGTTAAGCCAAACATCCTGGTAGATCATATGATCTAACTTACCAGGTTCCACTCTGGAACCATGTAACCTGTGTAGTTGAATTAATGTACTTTGCACAATAAGGGACATAACATGTGAATTTCTATACTTAAACTAAGTTTCTCCTCGAATATACATTTTAGTCATTACGTTCAAAGATGGGATGCTACAACATGCTTTCTAGTCCTTACGTTCAAAGATGGGTGTTTTAACTTTGTCAGTTGAATGCTTTCTCCTAATGCATTTTTTATGAAATTCCAGAAGTGCTTCAAAACATCGTTCTCATTTGTTTTCTGAGCTGAAAAAGCTTAGATGCCAGAGTAATCACAAGTAGTTTTATTGAAGAATCTGGCATCTCATCTTCATAACATCTTGGTTTTTGAGTACTAGCATAAATTTCATTGATGGCTTTCAATATCCCTTCATATCTTCAGCTCTTTTTGGGGTTGCTCAAATTTTCAATGTGCTCTCTGTAGTAATATTATATTGCCCGAAATATTACAATATAGCCTACTTTAGCCTGTTTGTTACCAAACATATTCTGTCATACTTTATTTACTTGATTGTTCTTAATGTTTTAAAGGTATCGATTGCATGTTATAGATGTGGATCCCTCATCAGTGACATCAGGTGGCTGGTTGGAAGACACTTCTCTGGTGGAGAAATATACAATTTCTGAAGAAGCATACAACAAACTTGATTGTGAGCTTCCTAAAAAATTTCCTTGTGTGCCTAGCAAGCAATATAATAATTATTTCAAATTGGATTTAGTGTATATAGGCTTTTTAATCATAAGTTCTATGCACAGTTGCTTTTAGAACTCACACTATGAGAGTATTTCTCAGACATAGTCAAAGAGTGCATTGCAGCCATTTATTGTTTGAGACCTAAAGGAGTGGAAAAAAATATTGTAATAATTTATTGCTCAAGAAGCACATGAAGCAAATCAGAGTGGGACACTCATTGTATAAGAAAGCTGGTCAGTTGTAGCTTACAGAAACTGAACAATATGGTTGAATTTAGGCACCACACAAGATTTTGCTTTGTTAATTGCTCGAAAAAATCAAGACTTCAGCAGAAGATAACATGTTAAATGAGTAATGCTAAATATTGAATTAATCAAGTGTTTCTTTTTATGTGTTATACGTATGTTACTAATTCATTGTGCATGATTAATCTCTTCTGTTGCTCAAAATTTTGTATAAATTAGTGTTGGTTATGCAATCTTTGTGGGATTGCTGTTTAGAACTTTGCCTAGATGAGGCCCTCATGACACTATTAGGTCATTTGAGTGGTAAAGCAAAGAGAAGTGATTAGTCAGAGCCACCTTACCACCCAAGTTCTTGGGAATTTTTGAGTAATATGATGGCAGGACCGTTGAATAAGCACATGTAGTTGTATGTTCAACATGATAATATATATGGATCGTTAAAGTGAAGAGATAACTGCAGAGTATTATCAGTTC